TTTCCGCATTCAAAAGTTATCGGATTCAAAGTTCCCACTTTAAATTCCTGATTCAAAATCTCTGGAGACACGACCAAACCGGGAAGTTTTTATTTCGGATTCGTCCACTTTTGTGTAAAGGGCAGAATGAATCCGGTACTAAAACGTTTCGGATTCATCACGAATCCGGAACAATTTCCTCTAGTGTAAACCTAGTCTAAAGTTGATGGCCTGAACACAGTAAGATTAAATCCGATCTTTTAAACAAGAAGTTCAGCCGGGCTCCGATGTTTATACTAAGCCGGAAGATCTTACTAGTATACCCGTTGTTGGAGATTCTCCTAAACCAACTCTTGGTTCCCCAGTTGTGACTCTCCCAGGAGTAATTAAGCAACTAACATCATTGAAACCAAACAAAGCAAGCGGGCCTGATGAGCTCCCCCCCGTTCCTAAAAAAATATGCTCACGAAATTGGCCCTATTTTAACAGCTATTTACCACGCCTCTATCGATTCTGGTATTGTACCATTTAGGTGGAACTATGCCCATGTGTGCGGAGTTTTTAAGAGTGGTGAGAAGTCAGATCCTTGCAATTACAGACCCATATCACTAACTTGTATTGCATGTAAAGTCCTGGAGCATATTGTTTACAGCCACGTCATGAAACATCTTGATTCCCACCAGATACTTACTGATGTACAGTATGGTTCTAGAGCCAAACGATCAACTGTTACTCAGTTCATAACAATCGTTCACGACCTTGCACAGACCATCCAAGACAATAAATCTGTTGACGCTGCCATACTTGACATTAGCAAAGCTTTTGACAAAGTACCGCACCAGTGTCTCCTTCATAAACTCGAGTACTAAGGTATCCGAGAGAATTTACTCGAGTGGTTTGAGTCATTCCTAATGGACAGGACGCACCCAGTCAGTAATTTGTGATAGAAGTCGATCTAATCCCATCATGGTGTCATCTGGTGTCCCACAGGGTACAGAGTTAGGCTCGTTATTGTTTCTATTATGCGTAAACGACTTGCTAGAGAACTTACAACCTTCTGTTAGACTTTTTGCTGACGACGCTCTCTAGTACGGCATCATTTCCAGAGAGCGGGAAGATTGTAATAAACTCCAAGCTGATTTATTTGAACTGGAGTACTGGCTAGACAGATGGTAAATGAAGTTCAATCCGTCTAAGTGTAGAATAATATGTATTTCTACTAAGAAGTCACCCCATCTGAAGAAATACGTGTTTTGTGGATCCGAACTAGGGAAGGTTGACTCTGAATCCTATCTCGGAGTCACTTTGACAAAGAACCTGAAGTGGTCCCAGCATGTTTCGTCCATCTCTGGAAAGGCGAGCAAAGTTCTTGGTTAGCTAAAAGAAACTTTTGGAACTGCCCACGACCAGTGAAGGTAACTGCTTATACAACTTTGGTTCGCCCAAAACTGGAGTATGGTTGTGAGGCCTGGGATCCCTATTTTAAAAGGACATTTCATCTCTCGAACGTGTACAAAGGAAAGCAGCACGGTTTTGTTTAAACAACTATCAACCTACAGCCAGTGTAACCGAGACGATAAGCGACCTAGGATGGTCCAGCCTTGAAACAAGGAGAACAATAGCCAGATTAAATGACTTAAATCTGTACAAAACATGCCATAGCAACGTCGACATTGACAAAAATAGTTACTTGTGCCCTTCTAAAATTTGCGGAGCCAGAACTTGTTCTAGTCATGATTACTAATTTTGGAATATAAAAGCCACAAAGAATGTTTATTTTTATTCCTTCTTTCCACGTACCCTCAGGATACCGAACAAACTTCCGAAAGATATTGTTGAAAGCATCTCTCTAGAGACTTTTTAAAACTAAGATTTCCAAGTATTTTAATGAGAAACCTTAAACTGGTAGATATTATTTCTATTGTTGTTATTTTATACTTTTTGTATTTTTAACGTTAGTGTGATGTCTAACGACTTTGCCGACGTATTAAAATGTAGATGTAGATGTTATTGATTCTTCTGAAAACTGATTTAAAACATGATAAGCTAACACTTTTAAATCACTGTACGGAATTTATGTCAATCACGAGTCTTGTAATTAAATATGTCTGTCACTAAAGGCAACGCTTATTTAATTTACGAAACGAAACAACAAAATTGCATTGAAATTGTTTTACCTTAAATGCAATCGACTTGGATATTGACCGTTATATTCGGACACTGAAAAGTAAATATGCCTGATGCAAACCTACATTAAACACATTATCATTATTACGAGCTATTTAAAGATTAATCTGTAAGGGGTACACAATAAATAATAGTCAAAGTTTTCATTCATTTTGACACCATCAAAATTCTTTTTAAGAGTTGCAAAACCTTGAATTCATCGTTTTATAGGTTAATCATCCGCTCTATCAAGTCTAAAGTCAGTATAACACCAATAAGCCATTTTAATGGTCTGTCAGGAATCGGCCGATTAATCGTTTTCTCTATAGATCATCTCAATGGAGAAGTGATAATGAGGGTCCCCAAGATGTCTCTGATTCAACAACAGCGACTCAAATGAAGGCCGGTTAAAAGAGTCTGAAGTGGAATCAGATTTGGATGAAGATGATGTGTTAGAAGTATGCTCTTGCCCTTGTGATGAAAAGGCGTGTGACATAGGATGATTTGAAAACGGTTTGACCAGGCAGGCAGCTTACGCTAGAAAGCTTAACGAGCTGATTTAAAGATGAAAATTTCAAAAGGACAGAATTTCAAGTTACAAGGTCATAGATGATGTCGTACAAATAATCCATGGTCCTTTTTATCCGTATGACCGTGAGAGAATTGAGTTCTTTGAAACGATTACATGCCTGGGTGGTAGGGCTAAAAATAAAAGGACTTAACCTATCTTGATTCTCTAAAAGTTTTAATTACAAAATTTTGGTGGCTGCATGTATATTGTAACGCAACCGAAAAGATTAAAGAGGCGGTGTGGCTGAGTGGTTAGGGTGCTGGACTTGTAATCCGGTGTCCCGGATTATTATTATTATTATTATTATTATTATTATTATTATTATTATTATTATTATTATTATTATTATTATTATTATTATTAAATATCGAAATATCGAATGTTCCTAAAGCGAGGAACGGGGTAAGCATAGATTTTCGCCAAATTCTCGCATTTAGTCTTCGAACCTCCCTTGCTCAATGAATTAAAGTGTCCACCCGACCCCACCACCGCACAGTTCTCCAGATCTTGCCCCTATCGAGTGGTAGGTGGGTAAAGAGTCTTCTTCCAAATTTGGAAATCACAGTAGTTTGCAGTTGAAGTCCGCCATTAGAGCCTGAGAGTGCCTTGGAAGATGAGTGAAGAAACGGGTCTAGAAGAAAAGCCGAGTGAGGTAAAATTCGCTCATACCCATAACTAAGTTTGTGTTTCATTTACCCATACCATTTTCTGTCTTTTAGCTCACCGAAGAGCAGAAACTGGCGCTCAAGTTTCCGGGGAAGAAACCAGTGGCCACTGATATTTTGAAAAAGAGAATGCAAAGAGGGGTATGTTATTTAATTCACTATTAAAAAAATCCTTTCACTTTTCATAGATTTTTTGACCGTTAATCGTTTTTCTGAACGCTACATCTTTCTCGGTTAGGTTAAATATTTTGATTCTGGCGATTACGCCATGGCGAAGAGCGAGAAAAAAGCCGGTCCTGCCGCAGCGGCCATTGGCAACAGAGGGAAATTACCGATGGGAGTCGGAAAAGCCATTCCCACACCCGACAACATCCCACACAGGAAAACTTCTGTGCCTAGTAAGTTGGTGGAAGGCCAAGAGCAGCCGCCAGTGGCGGTAACACGGTAGTTTTCAGCTGCAAACTGAACAACAGATAATATTGCACGCAACTTCTTTACATCCGCTTTTTGGACAGTAGGTTGTGTGTGAATCTTGTGTGTTAGAATTATATTTTGGTAAAGACTGTTGGTAAATTCTTTAATTTACCATGTAATATTCGTGAATTGTGAATTTAAAATCAAGTTTACAGGCCAAACTAGCGATTTTTATACCTGTGTAAGGCTCTTAACTGTATCATAAGTAGTGTGTTTTGAATAAATTTTACAAGAGCAAGTTAGCGAGTCAACTAAGGTCGAATGATTCTCTTCAACTTGTATTTGCAACGAATCGTTTACTCTAACCTTGGCATTTAAAGTGCTCTAAATGACAAAGTTGATACAGTATACTGCTCCTACAGAGTACGTAATTTACAATCATTTACGCGGTATACACATGGGGAAAGTTTGAGCTTACCACTGTACATTCAGTGTTTAGTATAGGTGGAACATTCACTCATTGTCAGAGAAGTGTCAATCTTTGATATCGCTGGGAAAGTACTCGTGTTCCATAGGGCAAGGGGTATACTGTTCTGTTTCTGAAAACTCTACATTGTACTTCAAGGAATTGCTTTATGTTTTTTGTTGTGGCAATGGAGGTAATAATTCAGAAAACTGATAATATTCATATAGGTTGTCAAATAAACCCCAATCAACTGCTCTTGCACCTAGGATTTTTTTGCCACTGTGTAATGATTGTAGAGGGAAAGTAAGTGACAAATTCAGCTGAACTTACATTTGCTGAGTAGACTGTAAATTTGATATGTGGAAAGTACCAACATGCAGCCCAATGCAGGACAAGAAGCATATCATCAGTTTTAGGTAATATGCTTCTTGAAATACAGACAGAACCTCTTAAAATGTCTAGATGTCTACTGCAAAACAGGTGAAATGACTGTGGAAGAAATTTTGTGATAGTTTCCAATCATTTCATGTCAACATTGCTAACAGCTAGTTTTGTTTCTCATTGGTAACACTTAATCATCTCACGCTTAATCATCTCATAACATTCCCCCTACACTGTTCATGTAATTTTGGGTATTTACTGGTAGTTGTTTAGCTGCAACATGCATTTGACCAAACTAATTTTGTAAGCTGTGAATTTTTTTGAGCTTCAAACTTACTGTTTACCAGAGTGATACTTTTCAAACTGTTTATGAACTGATATTTCAATTCCTTAGCTTCTTCAGTTTGATCACTCATCTGTAAAGGCTGATGTGAACCTAGTGTATATTTTTTTGGATAGAATCCTGAATAAATAATTAGAAGAATTTTTAAAACAAACCAAAACTTTCCAGTCTTTTACATTTGCTTTATTACATGTACATGAATGTACATAAAATAAAAACAATCAAGAAAAGAAAGATTGTTGCAAATTAAAATCTTTTGCACTGTTTTAGTTGAAAGTTAGGTCTTTGAGCACCAAGAATAGCAAACCCTTTGTAGGAGCTGGTAAATTTGTGAATAATATTTGGCAGCTTGAAACTGACAGATTTTTAAGAAATGAAAAACTGGTCAATATTGTGTTGTTAACTGTGTAAATTTATGGCAGTATCTTAGCAAAGGTGCTATACTTAATAAATCAGAAAGTCTTTTGGATTCTTTTTTTTTTATATATCTATGGGTCAAGGTGCTCATTATTAATTTTAGATCAATGATAAGTGATTCAACATCACTCAGACATGGTCAATAAAAGGAAAAGATGAGTCGTTGGTCTCTCAACTTTCTGTGATGTGTCATGATTTGGATCACTTTGGATCCAAATCCTACCAAAGAAAGTATGCTTCTTTGAGATATACACAGATTGTTAACCCCTTGGAAGAGGTTATTTAGGCATCCCTTTAAAAAGGGAGCAGACTGAAATGTTTATTTATGCCGAGAGTACATGAGTGAACATTGTCCTTTGTTATATAGTATTTCTGAGGGAAAAAATTGGTGAGGGTTTGTGTTAAGGTTGTTCATTTTTTCTGGCTATAATTGTGTTTAAAATTTTAAGTTATCATGCATAGACATCGATTTGATTATTTTATTTAACCTCCGAGTTTGTATCTTAACCTGCCTAATATGCTGTAACAAGATCAATAATCCTGTTTCTGATTTTAAAAGTTTTCTTACCTTTTTAACTCTTCATTATACCTAAATTACTGCCTTTGTGTGACCTTTTTGTCCATAATGACTTTGACTGCTTTCAATTTTGTGTAAATAATAATCACTTGTTTAACTCTGTCATGCACCCTTCATTGTATTTGGAGATATAATAATTCCATTCTTGCTCTATGCTGCAGCGGACTATCACACTCGTGCAAGAAGTGGAGAGTTTAACCTTGTAATGGATCAGTAAACTTCTGGTTTGGAGAGTGCACAAGACTTCATCCTCAGTTAAACTTAAAGTGACACTTTAATGGTCAGCAGAAGTGTGCATGATTCATTAATTTTCTGAAGTGATAATGCTTTACATGATTTTATGAAGTAGTGTAACATAAATGCTGTACTTGCCTTTAAAGTTTGTAACACTTTCACTATTTTTTGGGATAAAATGTTCTCTTTCTCAGCTTATCTACTGCTTCAGCTATCATAACTTGACATGATTAACTTTGTATTGAGTTATTCACTGAAGAAAAACTATTTTTTGTTAATAAGTAATTGTATAATAACTTGGTTAAATAATTATTTATGGCTTTTCTTTATTCAATTGCATAGGGCATAGGTTTCCCTGCAGCATGAGCTTTAGTTCTCAAACAACTTGTTTGTGCTTTCTAAGTGCCAGCTGCATGATTATGTATACATTTTCCTTGTACATTCATTATTTATAAAACTGAATTATCATCATTTAAGCATGTTTATAGTTGTCTGCAGTTGCTACTTTAAAGGAGAAATACTCAGCTACTTAACTAGTTTTGTTCAGAAAAAGGTAGAAACTGTGTATTAAAAGGTACAAATTGCTAAGAAAGTCCTAGCTCAAACAAATCTTTCCTCCAACAGTCTAATGCTAAAACAGGTTGGTGAACTCTTAAACTTCTTGTAAAATTGTTGGAATGAAATAAAGTTACCCTAACATATTATATCAGATAAGATTTCTTTAGTTGGCAGTAAAGCAATTTTCTAAGTGTCAAGAGTGACTTTCCTCTGCTTTTCTCTTTCCAGTAATTTTTTTTTTTAAAAACTTGTAGTTTATTATTAATAGATAGATTGAAAAAATGAATCGTCAATTATGATATGCTCATTTTTGTGGCTTACTCAATTAAAACCTGATAAAGAAGGAGAATATTTTAATTTTTGAAGACCTTTCACCTTTATGCTTCTAATTTATTGGTCTGCATTTTTTGCTGACTGGAGTTCTTAATTAACAAGAGGAAGGGAGAGGGCTAAGGGAGAACGTAAATCTTGTCATCAGAGTGAGTCACTAGTGCTGTATTGACCTGAGCTACTACCACACCTGTGCAGGTTTTCATTCATTTGGTTAAAGCTGTGACTATTCTTCACTCGCAGATGCATTATTATACTTCAATTGAATCCAGGACTTTTTGCTACCTGTCAATTCTAGTCTATCCCAAAGTGGTACATACAGGTACTTGTGCCTAACAGCATTCGTTAGAAATAAAAACCCAGACTGATGTTTTTGATTACCTTTTAATTATTTGATTGAAGTTTCAAAGGATCTTCAGATTAGTGCTTACAAAGGATTTAGTTATGAGGTGAGGCATTGAATTTTGAGGGACAGTTCTCTCTCTTGAAGCAAACAATTCATATCAATTTGTAGTCATTATCTCATTTAGATGTGTCCTTAAAACCCTTTAACTATGGAATATTTCAGATAGTAGGAGCACTCTTATTGGTACATTGGTGTGTTTAGATGCAAGTATGTAAACACGGTTGTCACAACAGCGTTGATGTCTTCCCATCTTTGCACGAATATAGCCTGCTTTTGCTTAATTGTTAATCATACTTTCTAGCAATACCTGATTGTCTTTCAGAAAGAAACACCATAAAGAACAGTGTGATACTCATGTTTTTATATTCTTATATTTGACCAAATAATCATACAGGTTGGCAAGCTCAAGATGACTTTCATCAAGATTGAAATTTGGTGGCTAAGATATCAGTGATTTGTAACACTGTAATTAAGCTTTAAACTATTTAAATCTACTTTAAAATATTTCTTTAAAGCATGTTAAAAAACTATTGAATGTAAGATAAAGTTCAACTCAGTTAAATCATGAACTGGAGTCAAAAGTATTAGTGGATGAAATTGTGCACCATAAATCTAAAAGCAATAAAGTTAACCTTGTTGACATTTTGTGAGTTGGAATAGTTCCAGATTTTTATAGATACCCTTTGCAAATTGAATTGCATTAGCCTCGGGGATCTAAATTTAGTTATCAGAAGGTCAAATTATTTCTTAGGAGGGGATACTGCACTCTTAAACCTGTCTTCCTAAGTGTATGTATGGAGGGAGAATTGTACATCAACAAGGGTAGGGTTTGAGAATCGTTCATTTAAAATGCTTTTATGATGTGAACAAGTTGACTTTGAATGCCACTAGCTTGCTCATACTTGGCCAATTGCACATTAGAGGTGCACATCCTAGAAAAACTAGGTAAGATGAGTTAGTTGTCATGTTGTGACTCTATGGTAATCTCCTTGGAAACCCATTGATTTGATATGCTTCATAATTAATGGTACTCTCAGCCAAAAGTACAGTCTTGATAGCCAACTTTTGTTTGGGAAATAAAACACGCACTGCTACCCCAAATAGAAATGGCAGAAATCCAGCCCACCAAGGTGATAGTTCTGCCTGACCATTAATGCTGAACATTGTAATTACAGTACCCAAGTGTTCCCTTTTTAAAGCTACATGGAGAACACACTTTCCCTTGATGTAACCTTGTTCCAATTTCTTTGTTACATAAGTTTTCTTTGATAAATGAGTTGAAAAGTATAAGTGCTTGTTGGCTCACCACAGCCAAAATTGCAGCACTGAACAGAATACCTTTATGACAACTGTTCTTTTTTTTTAATATACAGTACAAACTATCAAAGGCAGTCTAAAATGTTCTTAAGTGGTCTGGCTTTTGAGGTCTTGGCAGGCATGGTCAGGCCTTTGTGTTATAGTTATTACTTAAGGAGAAAGTTGTTATTTTGTTTTTGATTTCTTTTTGCCATATCTTCGTTGTCGCAGGGCATACATGTGTTTCATCATGTGACAGCCACCTGAAAAAAAGACAATTGATCAGTCTCTAAAGTTAATCAGTCATGATTGACCAGTTTTAATAAATTCCTCATCAAACTAAGGTTATTCTATTTGCTGTCATTTAAATTTGAACTAGGCATACTCACCAATAACAAGGAAGATAAGGTATACTCTAAGGAACCAAGCAAAGCTGAAACTGAAGTTAAGTGCATTTGGAAGTTTGACAGAGAATCTCTCGGATTCATCCAGCAAAGGAATTGCTTTCCATATGAGAGTAACTGCAAGATTGTAACAAAAAGAATCAACGCTGAAGATAAATTTTATGGACATTAGAAATAAATGTTAGTGGTAGTGTAATGCTCAAAAATAGTATCTGACCACAGAAATATTGCTTAAGAAATGACTGGTCTGGCCTTGTTACCTTCAAAGAGTACACCTAGGGGATACAGAGGAATCCATAATGTGTATCGAAGCCACATCAGTGGTTCAATCCTTATGCCAACAATCTGAGAGGCGTAAAATGGGTACCTAAAGTAAGACAAGAGCACAGCAAAACACAGAAAAAGATTTATGTCCTCATCTGAGCATCAAAGTGCACCACCCAAGAACAGGATGTACCATCACCAGTGTTGTCGTAATTGGTATCTCAAATGTGATCAACACTTTTAATTGAGTTCTGCTGACAAATAACCAATACTTTTTGTTCAGTACACTGTACATGTCCATGTACATGTAAGCATAACATTAGAGACAAAAGTTTTCGTGAAAACAACTCGAACAAAATTATTAAAGTCAGTTTTCAAGATAAGATAGCCAAAATTATCCATGCCTCAGTAAAAGCTGTCTGCCTGAAATAATTAGCAGCCTTAAAATTCCTACACTATCATTATTGACCTTGAGAACACCCTAATGTCACTTCGCACATTCTCCATAGTGTTCTCTGAATAGTTCCTGACGTACCAACAAGGAGAATTTGTTTAAGAATCAAGAGCTTCTATAATCTGCAGTCATTTCCTTTGTTCTTGTGACATTAATGGTGATATTGAAAGGAGATATGAGATGCAAGTCACTCTGATGGGTTAAATGAATTATCTTTGTGAGAATGGAGAATATGGATACAGATGTTAGGATGTAAAGGCTTCATCTTTAATTTCATGATTTAAAAGCTTACCGTACAACTTCAATGAGAGACCATACAATGAAAAGACCATATACAGCTGCAAGTTCATGGAGCTCTTTATTTGCAACAACTACCAAGAAAAGCACCAAGTTTCGGCCAAAAACCTATAAAAGAGTACCCAAATGATTATCTTTGAAAAATTAAAAAACCTAAAAAAGACTACCTAAACGATTATCTTTGATCAAGACAAATCAAAAACCTGTAAAATAGTACCCAAACAATTATCTTTAATCACAACAAATCAATAGTGACATAAAGTGATCCATAATGCCCTAAATTGTACATGCTGACAACTTTGAGAGCCACAGTGTCACAGCTAAGGTTATTAATTCTGAGCTTTGTAATAAAAATTTACATAAGAACATTAGTTGACTATGGAATTAAAGTACACATGTTACATTACATTGTACATTTAGACAGAATCAATGTCCTCCAGGTTCGGGGTTGGACACAGGGCTAACCCTGTTCCATAAAAAAGATGCATGTTACAGAAATGGCAACAAGGGAAATCAACACTACTGGGTGTGACAGGCTTCCAGAATCATCGCAAAATACTCATATGAATGACAGTGGTGAAAGCCAAAAAGAAGCCACTGACACGAAGGTGAGGACAGCCGAAGAACACCTGGCCGTGGAGGCGGAACTGAAGACCCTTCATCACTCCTGGGGGTCCATTCAAAAGATGGCCCGTGACAGACGAGTGGCGTTCCTTTGTTGCTGCCCTAAACACCAGGAGGACATCATTATGGGCATGAAGAAGATGACGAAAACAGAATCAATGGGCTTTGGTAATGCCATTCTTTAGGGAAAAGAATGTGTAGGAAGCTACCCCATCACTGGCAACAAGTAATCAGTGACCACAGGCACCGAAAGCTGTCAAACTTGTTGACCTGCTTGAAGTACAGTTTAATTTTCCAGGATTAATTTGTTACCAATAAAACACATATCAACCATGATTTATTTCAAATACCATACCTAAAATGTATGTTAAAAACTTTAAAATGTACCTGCATGAAGGGAGCTAGGGCACCAGTCTTTACAATGCCAACTATAGGATGAATAACCTCCAAGAAGGCAGCCAACTGACAAGAAGCCAGTACATCACTGACTGAGTTGTAGGCTTCAGAGAAGGCAGCTAAAATATTAAATACATTCATTATAACCAGACTTGGTTACTTGAGTTTGACTGAATTATCTACTGAAAAATTTACTTGGGATGTGTTTCAAAATACTGTTCATTCATCTAGACTGAGATATAATTGGACAAAATAGTAATCATAATTAACCCTTTACACCCAAATGTTAGTATTCATATCCTTAACAGTGATCTGTCAACATTTCCTGCAGTAATGACAACAAGGACTTGTTTGACAATCAAGAGTTTCTTACATGTAAATTGGTGATCATTAATTTTTTTTAATCTCCTGACCGTACTGTTTGATTCAGGGGTGATATTGTAAGGAGAAATTAGATGATAATCATTTGGGGTTGAAGAGTAAAACCTTGATGATACAAAAGGCACCAAAACACTGTCAATATAGTAACTCAAAGAAATATGTTAAATCTTATCTGACGGATTAATTGAAGTTTGAAAAAAATAATAAACTAGTAAGTGCTATACCATATTTAGTAACTAATAATATACATGAAAAAATTTCTCAGTTCTGATTGGTTAAGATGAATGCAGTTTTCAGTTAATTCAGTGCAGAAGAGGGTTAATTCAGTACAAAGAAAGAAACAAACCAGACATTCTGATTGGTCAGAATGATTGGTCAATGTCAAGGTCAATGTCACTTCCAGGGTTTGAATAAATTATTTTTGCACGTGATGCGCACGCTTTTCTTCTGTGTAGTTATGAGAAACTACCTCGTATTTTTTCATGTATATTATTAATAGATAATCACATGATTTTCTCGTGCAATTTGGAATAAATAAGCACTTGTAAATTTTTTCAAAGACCACAAATTGCACTCACCCTATGGGCTCAAGCAATTTTGTTAGTCTTTGAAAAAATTTAATCATGCCTATTTATTCCAAATTGCACTCCAAATCATGTGATTACCTATACAAAGAGACAAAATATTATGTATTTCTTCTACCAACAACAAAAATAAATTAAAGCAACCTGTACCTGTTCCTTGAAAAATTACTTTGTACACAAGGACTGAAGTTATGTAAAGATATAATCCTCCTTGCATGAGATTATACACAACCAAGTAGAATGTACGTATAAATCTGAAAACTAAAAAAAAAAAGGCTTTGTTTTTCACATTTTTAATTTAAACAAATTTTTACGATGGTTTAGAAGTTAAGGAGGTGGGAACATTAAAAATCACCTAGTAATGACTTCGTATTTTCACTGACTGGAAGCTCTAATAATTTTTGCTAACAACAGCAAACACTTGGTGTAAACAGGTCAAATTCCACAAACAGGCACATGAAACATACACTAACCCCATGATAATAATAAACCCAGATTAAAATATGGCTACTTGAAAAAGACAAGATGAAGTAAATATAACCCTTTAGGCACTGGAAAGTGGAATTATCTGATATTATCTTTTGATCATGCAATGGTAAATCCATTTTGAAAAAGTGTGATATCATGAAAGTTAGATAATGACCAAACTGCTCTTTTTTTTATGTTGAGCCATGAGAATAAAACAAACAGATGTACAGGCTCCTTGACCTCAAGCTTGGTTAAAAGAATGTTCGATATTTAGACTATGCACTTTTTCTGTTTCTGAGGGTTTAGGTCACAGCTGGATACCCAATCTTGCTTTTGAACAGAATTCTTGATTATTTTGTGGGTAGATTATTTTCATGGAATAAGAGAAAGGAACTTGATGCACTGTCTTCAACAGTCATGTGCATAATTCTTTGTAATTTGGAACATTAGATTAATGCATACATGTACCTTCTTTTTTGGTTTTCTCTATTTCATTGTCCAAATCTAATTCCATGGCTTTGGTATTAGCCATCAAGTTCTGAAAACCAACATACACGTATTAGTTACACATCTCGCCATCAATTTTTTCTTAGTGATCAACTCAATAATATCAAATCGTCATTAAGAATCGACACAAAAACACTCTCACAGTCATACTGTTAGTCTCCTCTCACAGCCATTCTTTGTCTCGGGATCCCTGCATCTCCCTCCCCACAAACGGAGAGGGAGACACAGGGATCCTGAGACAAAGAACGGCTGCGAGAGGAGAGTATCATACTGTAGGCCTTGTAACTAAAAATACTTCAAAAATTTCTGTCGAGTTTCAAACAAATGTGGGATAACAGGTTCAGCTTTCAAAATTTATTGTTTGTTGCTGATAAGAAGCATATTAACCCTTTCATTCATAAGATCTATAGTAATTCTCTTTACTGTCTGTCTAACAGCTCCTATGATTTTAGCATGGAGAATTTGCTATTGGATCCAGTAGTAATCCACTGATTGATATTTTCCTTTATTCTCATCACTTATTGTTTGATATTAAAATGACAAATTCTGTCTTGGTCACTCAATTTTTTTTAAATGGTTGATTTAATATAATATTTTTCGAACATTTGTACAAGATAGCATATTGAATATCAGTTTTAATACTAGATTATACTTGTGCTAGAGTAACTATACTATACACAAACCCAAATTGCTGAGCTAACAAGTTGAGAATTAAATCAAACAAAAATGTTAAAACTTCTGGTTACAGATAGAAACTTTTCACTTGACATGGTTCAGAACAAGATATCTTCCCTTCAATTTGTCTAGATCAATCACTCTCTGATCAGTTTGGAGGGTACTCATTAAGTTCTCAAAAAGTTTCCTTCATCATCATTTCGGCCAATGACTAACAATGACCTGTGTTTGATTTGATTCACCTCCAGTTTTGCTCGTTCTTCCTGTTCATCTTCTTCACTATCAGATGTATCTCCACTTTGCCATCGATCAAAATTGACCTTCAACCAGGCTGGCTTTTGTTCATCCACAATAAGACGTGGCCAAAATTCTGAGCACAGAAGAAACAATGCACATTTTTTAATGAATAAAATTAAAAAAGAATCAATAAAGTTCTTAAATCATAGATCGAATTCCTACTAAATTCCAACCACAATGTGACTGCCATTAGAGATAGTGCCTACCATGCTGTCCTTTTAACTTAGCAATGGAAAACTCCACATGACGATCCAGAACTTTATGACTGCTTGCCTAGAAGTCAATGATTAAATCAATCAAACTGCAATTGTTCCTTATGAAAGCATTATCAAAGCATGACAGAATTCTCTACAACAGAGAAATCACACATCAAAATAAAAAAAAAAAATGATAATAAAAAAGAGACTCACTGTAATATCAACAGGCCTATAGAAATCAATGTCCACATGGTACTGTTGTTCCCCTCTAGCTCCATGACCAAATCCTATAATATAAATCATTTGCAGACCTGAAATTACTGCTTAATACATTGCTGTAACTGGGAGAAGCAATACACAACTGAAATTTAAGAGATCAAATCTCTGGTGTGAATCTAAGGCTTCACACAATTCAACTCTTGTGCTCGGATGATAACTTCTCCCTACCTGCTCCAGCACATCTCCTTTGATTCGAGAACAGAGAATTAGCTCTTCTGTCAAAACTACACCCTCATGCTGACTAATGAATTACTTATTATTCACAACTCTTTACTGGTTTATGTATCAAAACTGTTAGGAGAATTTATATTTCCATATCTAGGAAATAAAGGCTCATTTGTCATTAGAAGGCAGGACCTGGGTACCAACACCATGACAGACAAGGTTCATTACCTGCATACCTTCATATGGGGCGAGAAGAAGTTCATTTCTAGTTTTAATGTTTTTGTTTTTTTTGGCATGTACCTTAAAAGGCTTGGCACTTAAAAAGTAATGTAGTGAAACTCTTGTAAAGTATCCATTAAAAATGACACAGGTGTATTCCAAGAGAACGCTGTTTTAGTACAGGCAGAAACTCATTAAAAGGGCTCCTGCTGTAGACAAATACTATAATTCATATCCAGTTGCATCAGGAAAGGAAAATGTAAAGAAAAGGTCCGAAACATGTTTATATAATTCAAACATACAACGTATGCTGTAATCGAGAATTTATATTTACTGATATTTTTTTTCTTTGTAAGAGTTGTTGTCATTGCTATTTTCGTTCAGCTCTTCTTATAGATACGTGTATCTCTATGCCCATTTGGTGTATCCCAAGAGTTGCATCTAAAGGCGGCTGACAGTATTATTAAAAGAAACCTTTCTTTATCGAAGGCAGAGAAACGAAAGAAAACAGTTTTGATGCAGCTTTTAAAACAGGTGCAGTGTACATACAGCATCGAAAACATAGATGCAGTGATAATTTCAAATTCTTATGGTTCTCTTTATTGTTAGCTACTTAGGTTTTAGTGTGAACAAGGAATATTATCAATGCTCCTTGGAATACATAATGTAAACTGGCCTGCTTACCTTGAAAGACCAGCCGGTTGCTTGTCAGTTCCACGGCTGGATACTGCAAAAGAATTTCACGAAATGTAAATGAAATATCACAAACGGTTAGATACAAACTGGAATGTTTTTTTAGCAGGAAGTACCAAACCTGAACATCTGACAACTCCAGTGTTAAAAATACTCGTTCCTTGCTTTGAGCCCATCGAATTATTGGTTTAAAAACCGCCGCCATCTTCGAAACTCTTAGATTACCTATGATGCAAAGCGCCATGACCTGAAGAACACATACAAAGCATGATGGGTTTAAAATTGGGCAACCTGCCACTGAGTAGAGGAAAACGTTTCACACCCGAATAAAAGTAAACACTACGCTGAGTTACATCTGCACCTGTGAATGCATAGCAAAAGTAGATTTTGGAAACAGTAGCCAACGTTAGCAGGAAACTCAAGAAAGAAGACAAACGAAGTTGACTTCAAGTTAGAAGACAGAAGACGGATGGGCACAGAACAAGCATCAATAGAGAGGCGACAAAAATTTTCTCACTAAGTGTCGGAGCCGTCATTTGGAATGTCGCATTACACTTAAAGTGAACGGTGCGTGACAGAGCAAAGAGCGGCTAGGAAGGAAACCAAAATTTGCAGTAACCAGCGTAAAGTGCTTTGCATCTCCGGACAAATTTAGTTTAGTTTTCAAGGCGTTTTTAGCTGAGCGTATACCATTAATTACCGCACTGCACCACGAAACGAAATGTTTTGCTGTTTTAGCCATTCTTACCAGTCTTAGTTCCATGATTCCAACAAGCATGTAAAGAACTCCAACAACATATTCTGGAAACTGAAAAGTTACGAAATCAAAAGGTTACTTAGTTCGTCGGTTACTTTGCAGATACTTGTGAAAGGAGTTTCTTCCTAATTCACTTAACTTTACCAGTGAACAACACTTCACCATCTTATGCCACTAACTACATGTGTGTTCCGAGTTTTCATTCGGTAGAAACGATCGAAAAATTAGCCGAACTATTAATAATAAAATATGTGAAAAAGGAAAAAAGGACGCCTTGGTTTCCAAAATAACCGTCGTTTTATGCTCGCCCGCTGTATCGCTTTTCTCCAACACCTGAGCGCCTTAACTCTTTGACCCTCGAGAGTGATTATCATCTCATATCTCCTTGAAATATCACCCAGGAATCAAACATTAAGGTTACGAGAATAAAGGAAATGATCATAAACTGAATAAGCTCGATTGTTAAACTAATTCTCCTTAATTGTCAGCACCTTTAGAAATGTATAGAGAACAGTATGGAGAATATGCAAACAGATGTCAGGGTGTAAACCGTTAGACTGAGTGGCTGCAGACAGTAAAAATTGATTTCAAGGTAAAAAGTCGCACAGTATTCCTCAGCGCAGTCAACCTTTTAAGATATTTATTGTATCTAAAAGTACAATTCGTAATATGACGAGCTTTCGATGGGAATCGTTTCTTATCACTGAGTTATGACTTGTTTTCCTGGTTGTACTGGTAGTTTGCTTAGTACCAGCGAAGGTTTGCAGCACCTACCTTTTTGTAAATGGAGGAAATGATAAAGCAGAAGGCCTTGATGTCAAAATCTTGAGAATCCTAACAAACCTGATTGCCTTCTCGCCTAGTGCCATTGGCTAAAGAGTGGACTCACGCGCCACGACGTACGAGGCTAGTTTTTTTTTTTTTTTTTACGTTTTTGCAAACTGGGATGAAATACGAGACGGTTAAAATGCCAAAAATAAACTTGCCCATCTTGACCGAACAGATGTAGTCAGTGATGTATTGTTATAATGCTAAAAGATAACACTAAAGAATTTCAAACAAATTCACAAAGCTTATAGCGGTTCTCTTTGTTTTAATAGTTGCAAAGAGGTGTTTTACAGTGACTGCTGTAAAACTTACAAAAAACTATTTTCCTGTTATAAAATGAACTTTTCAGAAGTCATAACGTGTGTATTTTAGCTGTCTATAAGCACGTTTTTGTTTGCAAGATCAAAGAGCGGGCGAGAGAGCGAGTAACCAATCAGATCAAAAGATTCACTTCGTATTTCCCGCTCGTGGAGCCAGTCCTAATATGTTTGATTTCTCACCAATATCCCGTTGCTAAGTTAAGCCGTTTCCAAGCAGCAAATAGCAATTTCACTTCAGGTCTCCCATTTTAAATTTTGCATAACTCGGGAGCCAAATTTCACTCCAGCCTTATTATCTTGCTGGGATCGCTGATGGCATAAAAAAATCTTTTATCGCCATTTTTTTTCGGAAAAAATTTCTTTCCACGTAGAGCAAATGAGCCAATGGCAGGAAGAAACGGTAGGACGAAAATAACAACGAAAGTTAGAAAAAAGAGAAACACATCTCATTGGCTGTCCGATCTGGACGTTTGTTTAGGGAAATATTTGTAAGGTTTATTAATATTGGTGAAGTTTATTAATATTGGCAAGGTTTATTTTTAAAGCAAGTCATGAAGGCTACAATTCATGGTGAGTACTATCGCGTTTATCTGCTACTGTTACGTAATATATACTAATATATATAATGTAAATAATTTAGTTTAGCAACAATATCCGGCATACCAAACGAGCTACAAAGATATCTCGATCATGTCAGTCTGGTCGTAAGAGTGACATTTATGGCATCTGTGATGAGAACTGAAAAAAAAATACATTAATAAAAGAAAAATTACAAGCAGCGAGGTTGCTTTAACCATTTGTAATTGCACTCAGAATCAGAAATAAATTCGATAGGACTTTATCGATTGAATTGTACACAAATCAACACCGATCAAAATTAACTCTTTCGAGCGACGTTCTAATCTGACCCCCATCTTCAACCTCTACCTTTTGTAGGATCGAGCCAACTACTTATTTTGGTGTCTGAAAAATGGAAATCAACTAAAGCAGAGGGATGACCTAAATTTACTTTTTCGACCCACAGGACGAAGATAGTCCAAGAAGAATCGTATAGATAAATACCCAAATGTTTGGTCGTTTCATCCCAACACATCATTGTATTTCGGTTTTGTATTTCTAACAACAACTATTGATGATGATGGATTTGAGCGTGAAAAACTGAAATCATGTTTATCTTGTTTTACAGCGGACTTTAGGCCCCAAAATTCATTGCCTTTGAACAGTTGGATTTTCATCCAGAGATCGATCACAGTAGAATCCAGTTGAAGCTTTTGGCTCCGAAAGGTAAGCTATCTCTGTGTGATGCATGACTGACTCTTCATAAACTTTTCATTTTCCGATGGGTATGATTTGCATGATATCAACAGTGAACTAATTAATCATAAAGATTATAAAAAAGAAAAACAAGATGATTCTTAAACATCACCGAATTACCAGCAATTTGTTCTCCTTTGAGGTTCACATTAGTTATGGCCTGTTATCTCTATGAGTCACAATAGCTAGTTCACAGCTTAAGCACAATTTAACAGAGTCTAAGGCATGGGTGGCATTTCTTATTTTTAAAAAGGTGGCGGGGGGTAAGCATACCAAGATTTTTTCAAAAATAAAATATGGGAAAGCGGTGAAATGCACGTACCCAAAGATACCCTTAGATACCCCCTTCTCCTTGCGTTTTATTCCCAACAGGAAGAACAACTGTTGTAAAATAAAAGTTTGATATTTTTTTGCAAACCTCGACGAAATTTCATCAAATGGCGGCCGAAAAAGCCGTCGTTATTAGCAAATAACTAAAATGATGCTATCATATTATGTGACAGTTTTTCCACTGAGTCATCGAATAATTCATTGCCAGTGTGCAGTAGGCTACTTATAATTACGAAGGCAAGAGAAGGCAAAAATTTTTTTTACTTCTTTCTTGGAAGAGAACAAATATAGCGTTCTCAGACTGAGCCCTGCAAAATTATGTCCGACATTTTAGCGCACAACTTGACAGCAGAACACCATTGGCTTAGAGATAAGACTGAGGTTATTAGGTTATTAGATCTAGGTTAAAACATCAGTACTGCTTGGGCGCTCAGTGTTCACGATTAAAACTTTAAAATGTTTGGATCTGAACTAAAAACGCTAAAAAAAAGTATAAAAGCTAAATTTTCGGCGACGTTGGATATCATGGATATCATGTCCAGTCGTATCCGTGGAAACGACTGAACATGATATCCATCCTAATTACGTAGAAATATTAGAACGGGGCGTCGGCAGTCGACAAAACTACAATTTGAATCGTTATTTTATTTCTAGATTAGCTATCCTAGCGATAAAAAGTTTTTGAATTTCTTATCCTTGGACTAGCTATCGTAGGGATAAGAACCGTAAACATTTTTTATCCCAAAGATAGCTCATCATCATCATAGTAGTCTTTCGGGTGCGAGAATGATTGTATTTATTAGGTCTGGACAAATTCCCCCACACAGCTCTGTCCTTCGCCTTCTACTGCTAGGAACTCCTGTCTATACCCAACCTATTCAGGTTTCTTTTACAGTGTCTTTGTATCTCCGCCTTTGTCTACCCTGATTGCGCTTGCATTCGCATAACTGCGAATGGAGTAGCTGCTTAGGGAGACGCTAGTGATCCATCCTCTCAGCACGACTGAGCCACATCATCTTTCTTAGCATGACGTCCATTGATGGTAGATCAGTTCGATCCAGCACTTCTATCTTGGTTATCTTGTCTTTCCATGAAAGGTTCGTGATGAGGTAGGTGTGTCATCATGTATGCGTGAAGTTTCTGTACCTGCACCCTAGGGATAGTCCAAGACTCAGCACCATACACTAGAGTAGCCAGTACTGTCGCTCTGTACACTTTGTGTTACACACGAACAGACACATGTCGGTTATTCCACAGTCTCTTCCTCAATTTTCCATACATAACACTCCCTCTTCTCATTCTGAGAGAGAGTTCATCCTCTAGCCTTGAATTCTCTGAAACAACACTCCCGAGGTACTTGAAAGTCGTATACTTGACTAGTGGTACTGTACTGATGCTGATCTCTTCCGGTAGTGATGTTGATAACTTGAACTTTGGTGGTTCAAGTTGATGAAGGCATTCTGTCTTTTTAATGTTGATTTTGAGGTTAGATTGACTAGTTGCTCTTACAAATTTCTCCACAAAGATGGCATGTCTTCCACACTGTGTGAAACTAGGTTACGTTCATCGGCAAAGAGCAATTCTCTTACTACCTTTGTCGATGTTTTACCCTTGTTTTTGAACTATATCGCATTGAACAAGTCTGCTTCTTTCCTTATTTGAATGTGTACTCCTTCTCAGGT